TTTTTTGTTAGTTGTTCTTTTTCATTTAGCACCTACACATTTAATTAATCTATTATCCGGCACTCTGTAAATGTCCAAGTCTCAACTTTTCTACTCTGATTTTTCCGTATATATTTCTCTCAAAGCTGGTTTCTCAGGATTTCGTTTTTCATTTTCTGCCTCCACTTAAAAAAACATTTTTTTTACATCGCATCGTTTCAAACGCATTTGATCTGTTTTTTGCCTTTTTTTCATACATGCAGCAGTGAAAGCTAATTTTGACTGTTTTCGTAGATACATATTATCACATTTAAGATTTCCAAAAGTTTAAACATTCTTAGTGTAATGTGTACTACTTCTTGGTAAATATTTTTGAACAATTGTGGTAACTAGTTAGGAGAATGCCTTTAATAAATGTTGAATTCAATTTGTTAATTATATATAAAATTTACTTGAATGCTTTGCCATTTCTCTGTGTTAATTATGCGCTGTAACTGTTTGAATTTGGCTGCTGCCTCTATGTTCACCACAGTAAGAGTTGGCAAAAAACAAACGTCAAATTTATTCAGCAGTACCTTAATACCAATAAAAACTAAAATATAATACTTGTCAAACTTTTTTAGTTATCACGTCAAATTTTGATCATATTTCTAATTAAAACGGAAACGGCGTTTTTTTGTCTAAAAACTGAGATTTACAGACTTTTAATAAAATTACTGCCTCTATAGATCCGCCACTGTCGAAATCTACTAATTTACTTCAATGCAACACACTTGTCACTTCTTTTTCGTGCCTTGTTCTTTCAGGACATTGGCGACCATCGACCTCTCTTTGACTTGGTTTGTGTATGTCGATGGTTTTTTGGCAAAAGTTGTGGACAGTAGGTTATCATTACTTGCTGTCAATTTTGTTGTTTCTGGTCTTGTTACAAGATCTAGCAACAAAACAGAACTCTTTTTTAAAGTTAAAATGCTGCCAGCCAGATGACTGCAGTCAAAATTTATAAATTTGAATGTTTTGTTGCAACAATTACAAGTTTAAAACCTTGATAAGATTTGTCAATAAACAAAAAAAATAAGATACCACTGTTTCTTTAAATATAAAATTTTGAACAAAAAACAATTTTTTGCTAAACTATCAAAAGACTTTCGTCTAGAAAAATTATGTAATAGATGTGTAGTTTCCGGTAGTTAGCCGGTAGCGTGATGGTCTAACAGTTCGAGACGCCTGCCTAGTCCTGCTTTGCAGTGACCGGGATTGAATACAAAAGGAATCTCCACCTATCGCATGCCTTGTGTGTGACGCGTCGCTGTTTGTGTGTTGTTGGAACCGCTGAACGCTGGAAGAGTGTATTATAATTTCTAGTTGTGTTAAAGAAAAAGTCAATTTGAATGACTTTGTTAATTGATTTATCTTTTTGGTTTCCAACACCTGATGTACTCACCATAAACAGACTTGGAACGAAAAGACGTAAATTTTTTATTACCTACAAAACTAATGTTTTTTTTTTAGTATTCTAAACAAAGTTTCTTGCATTCACAACTTATGCAGAAGTATTCATCCAAAAAGCCATGGATGAATTTTGAACAATATTGTGAAAATAGAATTAAATACATGCCCTCTGTTCCAATTATTTAACATTGCCATTTTTGTTTTTCCACTGTTAGTTGTAGACAACGTTTTTAAAGTTAAAATTAATTCAAACATACTTCGATCAGATCTGTTTTTAAATTCGTAAAATATTGATTTTCAGAGAGGTTGACATTATTTTGAAAGCATTTGCTAATGCAAAAGAATTGAGGTGCTGTTTTTACTGTTTGTAACTGATTACAATGTATTATATTGTATCCGATGCCAAATTATCCAAATTTGATGATGATGATACATTGAACATTTTTCCCCATTGTTAACTGGGTAAAAACTTTTACATTTTGTACCAAAACATTAACAACAACAACGATGACAACAACGATAACAATAACTACATCAACACTAACAACATAAAACCACAAGCGAAAGCGTAACATCTTCAACGGAATACACACATCGACAAATCATTCGCAATCCATTGACAAAGGCATTCAACATCAAGCGATACAACAACAGCGCACAAGGCGAAGAGGGTTTAATTAGTAACGAATGCTGTGAAATGATTTGAACGTATTAATTGGAGTTTTGCTGAAAGTGTTGATGGGGTTGCTTGATGGATGGAAACGATGATAGATTTATAAATATGTAGACGTATCGTATCCTTCCATGTGTGTGTGTGTATGTGTATTATGTGATTGTGTGTGTAAATGCGTGCGTGTGGTGCACATGTCTAACTTCATTTATCTATGTTTGTTCGTTTCTGGATGCATTATCTAACTTCATATGTCTTTGTGCATTTTTGAGTTAGTTTGTGTTTCATTTATCGTTTAAGTCGTTTATGTTTCATTAGTTTTAAGTTTAGAAATTAATTTGATAATGTTTGTCGAATTTTGAAAAAGTAGGATATCAATTTTTTTTAAATACAAAATCTCCAAATAAAAAATTTTTTTGGTAAACTTTTAAACCACAACATTTAAAAAGAGTTTTGTCTAGAAAAAATGTTGTGGTTCTTTTCTAAACAAATATTTAGACAACTTTAAATATTGAAGATTAAGCTGCGTCATGGTCTGTGCTTTGATGTGTTTCTATCGGTGTTAAAGAATGTTTGTTGTATCTTTCTTTATTCTGATTTTTTAACATATTAAAAATAAAAAAGATCCAAATAGCGTTTATGCTATTTTCAATTGGTCCTTAATGGTAAAGCAAAAAGTCAAAATAAATAAACAAGAAACATAAAATAATTAGGATATTAACTCGTGTCTCCAAGTAGTAAAAATAAAAATGAGAAATTAATCATAGCTAAAATATAAAAATTAATTAGCCATTACATATTTATGGGCGACAAATAAAATAAATTTTCAACAATTTAACGAACTTACAATCATTATCTATTTCCTTTAAGTAATTCAGGAGACTGTTCCAAATTGGTGATGCATAAAAGAAGAATCGTCTGCTACTAATCAAATTCAAATTTAGCAGATTTTTTTAGCATTTTTTCTTTTTTTAACCCGAAAGACGTGCCTTAGTTTATGTGTATCAAACTTTTTATTTCTGGGCGTATTTTAAGGTTTTATTAAATATTTTAAAAATTAGGATAAATGTTCTAAAATTGTTCAATTTGAAAACATTTATAACGAAGAAAAATGACTTTAATAAAGTCATGATTAGAGTAATCAATTGCAAATAAAATTTTTTAGAGAATATACAGCCTTTGGTTGTCGTCTTATTACTGGAATTCCAAGTTACAATAAAATGGGTACGGGTACGGATAAACCAACGAAAAAAAAATTCTCAGAGAAATTGATAATTGACTAATAATTTGTTTAATATGTAATTTAAAGTTGAGTTTGTCGTCAAAGATTACAGCAAGTATTTTAAGACTCAGTTTTTCTCAATTTAAATTCCTTTAATTTTAGAATGGTTTTGTTTAGAGTCTAATTCCTTTTTATTATTTTGTTTACTGTAAAATATACTATATTTTGTCTTAGATAAGTTGATACTAATTTTATTTGAAATAGACCAGTCATTTAAATTTATCAATAGCGATTCCAATTTTTGTAGCGGTTGTAACATATTTCTATCTATCGTACATAACTAATTTTGTGGAACCGTGATCAATAAACAAACATATAATATCAATGCACCAAATAAATGTCTGCATGCATTTATGCGTCGTAAATACATGATGCTATGTTGTGATGTTTTCTGTTCAACAATACATATTTCCGTGTCACATATTTCCCCCTTTTTCTCTTTTTCTATCTCTAAATATCAAAAAATATGTGATATATATATATATATATATATACACATATATATATATTAGGATATTAATTCGTGTTTCCAAACAGTAAACATAAAAATGAAGAATTAATCATAACTAAAAGATAAAAATTAATTTGCTATTACACATTATGAGCGATAGATAAAATAAATCTTCAACAGTTTAATTTCAAGTAATTCGGGAGACCGTTCCAAATTGGAGGAGCGTAAAAGAAGAATTGTCTACTGCTAATCAAATTCAAACTTAGCTGTTTTTTTAGCATTTTTTTGTGTTTAATTTCAGAGATGTGCTTTGGTTTATCTGTATCAAACTCTTTATTTTTTGGCGTTTTTAAATCCTTTATTAAACGTTTTAAAAATTAGGAAACTTATTCTAAAATTGTTTAATTCGAAAACATGTATTAAGTTATAATGAAGAAAAATGTCCTTATATATTATATACATGTTGGAAGGAGACCATATTTTATACAGTATTGTATTAATTCTACCAAATTGTTGGCATTAATCAATTTAAAGTTTGTCTTTTCAATTTTCCTTATTAGAATTTTCTGGAATTTGTTCAATTAATTGAAAATAGAATTATTATCAAAATTCATCATACGACACGAACTAAGTAACTCACTTTGCTAAAGAACTAACTTTGCGATGTTTGAAGAAACTATATAAACCAAACCTGCATTGACGGTGATTTGTGAAAAATCAAGATAAGGCCTATTTGCATTATGATTTTGAATAACAGTTTTTTAAATTTTCATGATGAACTTGGATAGTAATTATTTTTTTCAATAAATTGGACAATTTCCAGAAAATTCTTGTAAGGAAAACTGAATAGACAAACTTTACATTGATTAATGCCAACAATTTGGTAATATTCATACAATACTTTATATAATAAACATACATATAAAATATATAAATTTAGTATGGTGATCAGTGTCTGCATGTACGAGAGTATTTAGAGGTGAAAATTTGTCGAGCAAAAGTTATATTGTACCCCTTCTCTCCCCCAGATGATAATAAATTTTCAAAGTTGATATTTTACCTCAAGCTGCCGATGAGACCTATAAAAGGACGAAACGCGTCTGCCTAAGACGAGTTAGTGGTTCACGATAATGCACATTTAATCGTGGTGGGAGAGGGCGTACAATATGTACTCGTACTGGCCGTCGTATACACAAGTAAGCTTTACAGGTTGTTGTTCTAAATATTAATTATATTATAAGCATTTAAAAGAATTTGATTAATTTGGCAGTGTTTAATATATTTATTGTTGCTCCATTTTTGTGAAAAAAAACGATTTGCATAATTAAATATTTTTTATAAAATTGTATGCCACATAGCGAAGCGATGCTTGTCTCTCCTCAACTTTCTAGTCAATGTTTCATAAAGTAGATGCACCTATGGGGTCTCGTGGCCAAGTGGTTAGCGTGTCCGTCTACCGCTCCCACGACCCGGGTTCGAATCCTGTAGTTTTACAGGTTCATCCGGGTAGCCGACCCCCGGCCAACCCGGCCGTCCATCCTTTCGAGGCAGGTAAATGGGTAGACGACGTAAGTTATCGCGTGTTGGCCGGCGAGATGGCTCAGTGATTCAAATGCTCGCTGAGTCAAACATCTCAATGGCTATCATATACTCAGCGTATATGATGCTGTGCTTGCGCGTGCACATAAATACATGTGTACGTCGTGTTTAAAGGATAAAACAGCCTTTGTGGCGGAGATGGCTGCTTCAAATCAATGGTTGAAGATATGAAAAACATAATAAAAGATATATAGATAATATATATCTCCAACATTGTAAGTGGTTCTGCGTATGTCAGGGCTGCAATAATAAAGACTAAAAAAACCTTTTGTTATATAGAATGTTCTTAAGCCTGCTGTAATAAAGCCTTGTTGTGAAAAAATGCACGATGTGTTGTTGTTGTGCTGTTGAGGTGTTGTTGAGAAGTTGTTGAGTTGTTGTTGTGATGTTTTCTTCACCATTAGCACACTTTGTTGACTGAATTAACTTTCAAACATCTGAAAGTGCAGGGTTGGGTTACGGTGTGATAAACTGAAATTAACTTGCTGACAAACTATTTCATTTAACTGTCTGAAAAGACATGCTAACAATCAAACTAAAACAAGCAAAATATTTTTTAAGATGTCATTTAAATTTTTTTTAAATTCAGCAAAATTTAACCAAAAATGTTTTTCTATGCTCTTACTTTTATTACATCCAACTTGTTTAATTTTTAGCTTAACTGATGCGTTACATCGCAACGAAATCAATTTTAAGTTATATCAGTGTACCAAAAACGTTAACAATTATGATTTTGAAAGTTTTAAAATTCAAATTATTTGTTTTAATAAATATTTTTTTCATTAAATTAATATAAATCATTGACTGTGTGGTTTTAATGTGAAATGGGATGGTTTCTTAATTTGTTTCTTGCCATGGTTTCTTCCCTAATAGTTCGATTGAAATTATCTGTCACTTTATTTTTCAAGCATAAAAATTTTAAATCAATTCATTATCATAAAGCAACAGCATGTGCGTGAACAATTCTGTTTATTTTCATGCAATAGTCGAATTCAACTTCATCGATGCAACTATGTAAACCAGTCTAAACAGTGCACAACAATATTATTACCAAGTCTAATCAAATTTACCCGAAACAAACCTTGACAATATCAACTACAACGACACAAACAACAACAACGGAAAAAACTACATAGATAACTACATGAACAACAACATTATCAAATTAAATAACAAAAACATGAACAACAATTACTTAAACAAAGGGCTGAAAATGGAGATCCACATAATAAAAGGAGGATTATTGACAGCGGACCTGCAGGATCCAGACATCGAGAACAAGTTGCCCACCCTTCCGAGCGACCTCAATGCCGTCAGACTCAAGTGGGTCGCTCAAAAGGAAACGGTTTGTCCAACTTGTGTTGTTATTATTATTTTTTGTAGTAATTTATTTTCCAACTGTGATTTTCTTCAACCTGTGAAGGAATAGTTTATCAAACTTACAGCGTTGTTGGGCGTCTGGATCAATTCCTCCAAGACCCCTTTCAATTCATATTTGTTCCTCTGATCTATTAACTGCTAACATAAGGTCTATAAGTGCACCTCCGTTCTACACAGTTGTCATACTGCTATTTCCAGAAACCGATTTTATGCATGTAACTTTTTAGCTCAAGGTGCTGTCATGTGCGAAAACCACTGAGATTCGTGAGCACTGATTTTACGAATGTATTTTTTATCATTAGCTGCGCTTTACATCTTGAATGAGACATTTCTCTTCGATCAAACACTTTGTCAAGAGTAATCTAAAGTACTTTCTTGACTTGCGATTTTGTGACCAGCTGTATTTTGAGTATTTATAGCCTGATCTGCTTTATGACTCTCAATACCTCAAGGATCTGGTATCCAAATAACCTTCACCTTTTTTTCCACTTTAGTTAATTTATTCAGTTCTTTTACTATTATTTACAAATTGTATTTACAAATGTCGTTTTTTCAAAAGTTGATGATTGGTTTGCTGATTTTAAGAAGTTATCGTGATTTTTTTCACCCATCCTTTTTTCAACTACGTTCCAGCATATCTGGCAGCCGTCAACTTTGCTTTATAACTTCTGCACCATTCTCCAGTACTGACTCTGCAGCAAACTATCAACAACTGTTTGTTGTATACAGCAATGTCTGCTTTTTCAATCTCTGTACTTTGATCAATTGAACTACCTATGAATATTTGAACGTCTGCCTTTATAGCTGTACTTATGGCCTCGTTCACATATTCCTGTCTGTATATATTATGCCAAACACCATCCATTTTAATTATTTATAAGTTAGTTGGATTTGGTTTGTATACACGGCGGTTGATACCCATACTCTTCCTTTTATTGTTGTTACTGTGGATTATTTGCTGCTGTTGTTGTTTTTATTGTTGTTGCTGCTGTTGTTGTTTCGTGCAGATCAAATTTACAAAAATCAATTTTGAACTAATAAAATTAATCGCCGAAGTTCTTGTTGGTTTAGGTTTTAAGATAACTGTTCTTATTCTACTAAACTGCTGTTGTCGTTATATTAGTAGATACGATAATAAATTACTATGATATTGATGTTTCGGTGTGGTGTTATGACGTTATTTTGACATTTTAACTTTGTGTTGCAGTTGACGTTATTGATTTATTTTTTATTTACCACGACACCAACAACAACATCGTCACATTACCATTCTTATCACGACCCTTGCAGCCGCCACCACTACATTATAATCACTAAAACCCCTACAATATCTACTCCCACAACAACCACTGCCACTAACACAACTACCATCCTCACAACCACAACCATAAACAACTACAGTTCAGATACAAGTTCAGTGAATTGAAATCTCTATCGCCAGATCTGCTCTATAATCCACTTCTCAACATACCTTCATCCGGAAACATACCCAAATATGAATCAGGTAATTTATGATGTAGTGTTGATGATGATGGTAACGATGATGGCTATGATGATGACACATTGGATGAGAATATTCTATTTGTTTTCCATTTTTAGATACTATCTGAAGTTCTGAAGTATCTTTTTTGATTTGTGACTTTTTCTATGACCAGCTGTATTTTGAACGGCTTTTGCTTGATCTGCCTGATACCGCAGTGATTTGGTATCTAGATATCCTTACATTTTCTTTAGCTAATAGCTTCTCTAGCTAATTCATTTAATTCCTTTACCAGTATTTCTATTTCGTGTTTATGAGTGTCGTTTTTCTTCAATAAACTAGTGATTATTTTGCTGTCTCTAAGGATCGTGACTCTTTTCCACCCACCATTTTCTGTTAACTACTTTCCAGCTTCTCTCGTGATCGTCAGTTCTGTTGAATAACTCTGCACCATTCTGCTGTACTGACTCCGTAACTGGCTATCAAAGATTGTTTAAATGAAAAACAACACCAGAAGTAACATCAACATCGGAGTTAAGCATAGGAACCTGAATCACTGGATTGTTGTATTTATAAATTTTTAGGGATACTGTTAAAATAATAATTTTGTAAATGGGAAGTTCAGGGAAAGGAAATCACTAGACAGGAATCCAAAAAATAATGGACGGTAATGGGAAAAATAATATAAATTAAGTTTTGATAGAAAAGAAATTTTTTAACAAACTGACTTCAAGAAACGCAGGACAAATTAAAAACATGGACACATTTGCAATTCAAAACCTCATGGGGTTCATTCATAAATATCTTTAAATTAATTAAAGTATAATTAAAACTTGATTGTGATGTTATCTTACCCAGATATCTTGAAATGTTTGCAACTATAACTATCTGATTAATTTAGGGTTGCATGGTGTGATCATGAGAATGACCAAACAATGCTCAATCATCAGCCACATTTAACTTCAAGCATCGATTAATGAAAATACAAAATTGCTTGAAAGTATTGCAGTTGATAACGGTCTTTTTTTAATTAAAACGTATTTATCCTAAGAAACGCCAGGCTGTATTTTTATAGAACATTGAAAAAATATTGAATAATTGTTATTCAATTAAAATTTTATTGCTTCTCTCAAATCATCTTCCTTATTATTGCTTGAAATTATAAGGAGTACGTTAATAATTGTATTGTATTTTGTTTGCCATTTTTGAGGAAAAGTGAAATGGGGTGTAAAAACGGGCGGGAAAGTGTGGTAATTTGGGAGGGAATTGGAAACAAATTTCAATTTCTGCTCATTTCTAATCAGAATGTCAGAAATAATAAAATTAAAAGAAGATACTATTTAAAAATGATAGATGATGATTATTTGTTTGTTTTTCACATTCTACATTTTTTGCAGGTAGTATTCCGTTTCGTTACATTCGGTACAATGATGGTGTTAAAGGTGTGTATGTATGTATATTGGTCTGGTTGGTTATGGTGTTGTATGTATGTGTGTAAGTAATTGTGCATGTTTGTAATTTTGTATCGCAACTAAATTGTTAATTGCTATAAAGTATATTTTAATTATCGTTTGTTGGTCAATCGATGAAGCTAATAAAAAGAGCATCTTTCTTACATTATTAAGGAGTTCAGCACAAAATAATCATGCCTAACACTGATTAGTAAGAGAAGTTTTTAAAAATTTTATCTAATGAATCTTTATTGTTTCATCAAAATAGCCAATGAAAAAACTACAAATGGAAAAGTTTAAGTTGAAAAATGTGAACGCAGTTGAATGTTTGAAAGAACTTCAGCATGAATCGTTCTGATGAAAGACAAGGCGTGAAGAAAGTATGCTATGCTGTTTGGAAGCAATGTTTCTTCATGTGTTGTTGTTCATTTGTTAACATACAACCCCGGATGCAGTGATAGAACAGAATGACATCTCATTGAGAGATCGGAGATCAACACATCGATGTTAATCACCCGTCCCACTCATCAATTTAATTAACCATCCACCTCAGATTTCTTGTATTTCCAGCTAATTCATAACAAATGCACGCATATCTGAATCATCTAACGTTGAATCATCTCTCTTAAAATAAATTGTATTACGGCTGTGTTGATGCAACGATCGATGAAAAAAGAAACGTTAGCAGGTCTCTTGTTCGTCACTCCAGACGTAAAAGTTTAGATGCTTCCGTGCCACAAAGATTGTGCTACCAACACCTCGACGCACACACACATCACATATGCACACGCAAGCCCCGCATCATACGAGTATGATGGTTTTTGAGTCTTGGACAGACAGTATTCGAACCATGCCATCGCGTAAAAGCAGCGCGAGACATAGCACTTCTACCGACTGAGCTAACTCGGTGACCGGATATTTACGTTTTCTTTTGTCTTGCTCGGCATTTTTATATTTGAAATAATATATGCGTTTGTTTTAATTATTTATCATTAAAATCAAATTAAAATCAAATAAGTTTTTTTTATAACCACTTCAATAAAATGTTTCAAAGCATAAAGATTGTTAGCGGAAACAGGGAATATTTTAAATTATTTTATAAAATAACATTACTTAACCAAATCACACTTTAAAAAATCGATATAATTTATTTTAATTTAAAAAAATTAGCAAATGAGTATGTTGTGAGATTATCATACAGATGTTACATGCGGCAAAAGAACGTCACCACGCAGCACACACAAGCAGCAGATAAATCCAAGTAGATAAAAACAGATACATACAGTAGAAACACTTCTAGATACTTATAATTAAATAGTAGATGCACATGCAGAATATATACATACACATGAATGTAAATAGGTTTACATGTACGTGCACATACACACTGCTATTCAAAACGAAAAAATATACAGAACGAGGAATGCGAAAAATAATGAGAGTGAATAAAAGTGAAGTAGTAATTGAGAGATGAACAGCCAGGCAGCGGAGTGATGAAGAGGCGAGACATGCCAAGTGCTCATTTGTCGATCGTAAGAAAGTTTGCAGAGCACATCATTCAGTTATAAAGCCGACATAAACGTCAGCAGTCGGCGTATCTGCTTCTCATACATGAATCCGCTGGTCATGTACTCATAATAACATTCAGATTTTTGTTGCCATTTTATTGTTATTAACTTTTATTACATCCTGTTACTATCATTATCTTTAATATTTTGCTCTTATTAAAAATGCGGATGAAACATTGTCATTAACCTCACACACACACACACACACACACACACACACACACACACACACACACACACACACACACACACACACACACACACGCACACATACACACACACACGCACACACACACACACATATATATATACGAGTTATTGTGTTATTTATTTAATAATTCTGACAAAATTGACGATGCGGAATTCATTTACGAAATAATGGATTTCTACAATTGTGAAGATATTAGAATAGCAAAAAAAATACTTACCAGCGATCTAGATGCATTAAATCTAGAAAAAGATGATAAAATAAAGCCAAACAGTTCTGGAAACTCTAAAAAGGACAAGGTTAGTGATTTAATACTAACAATAAAAACAATTCTGAGCAACAAAATTGAAAGCAAATTGCCTCAGTATGCTGCTCTCAACCTTTTTAAAATTCCAAGCTCAAAAAAAGCTAAATTTGAGTCAATTCTTGACGAAAAGTTAAAAAAATTAGAAGAACTATTTATTGAAGAAAGAAACATCTTCCGAGAAATAGTAAATGATGCGGCTATTAACAATAGCTCAAAAGTAGAAAGAAAGCAGCAATCCGATTGCAAGACCGAATCGAGCAAGCAATCTGACTGGTCAGAGATTGTAAAACGTAAAATTAAAAAGAGCTCAAATGTTCAACACGTGGCGAATGTTCAACACGTGGCGAATGTTCAACACGTGGCGAATGTTCAACACGTGGCGAACATCAACATGTTGAAAACAAAGAAAAAAACACACAACACTAACATAGCAAATATGAAAACAGTTATAGGCACCCAAACGATAAACAAACAAATTA